AGGCACGTAGTCTATTCCACGTTAAAGAAAACTGTCAGACAACGCTGTGTCGATTCATGTACATTGTTTTACCACAGAAAACCTTCTTCTGATTGATGTACAATAGAAGCTCCATAAGCCTAAAACAGACAACTCTCAGACACTAAAAATCATTCAACTCAAGTCGACAGACAATTCATGCCAGAGGGGTTTAAAAGGAACGACAAACGGATTCTCTGTCAGTTCTTGAGTCGACAGTGGAAGTCTCGGTCAGTCGAAGCGTTACGTTGTTCCTGTTCAAGATGGTGGCACTTTCAGCATTCGTCCTTCTGATCACTATCGGTAAGTAGTTTTCCAACCTTTGTAGAAAACTTTATAATTTATAGCATGCAAGCCTTTTATCGAACGTTTATGGTCTGATTAAAGTCTTTTAAGCCCATGATAAATACAAATCTGATGCCTTGCATGTAGATATATACGAAGAAGGGCATTTCTTGATGCAGTTAGAAAGTTTTCCTTCTGACGCTTATCTATCTCCATACCCATTTCAAATCCATACAAGAGTTAGAAAACATTGCACGCAAACAAAATGATTTAATCAGTCACTACATAATAAGGAGGGAGCTGTCAAGTACATTGACTGGATAGTATGTAGTGTGTAATTTAGTATGTGTGTGTCTTATGTTATAATGTTGTCGTTGATATTTCTGTTGTTTTATGTTGTCGGATAAGTTTTTTTACTAAAAAATCCATATCCCTTGGATAGGCGCTATCTCTGCGCAGAGCTACAAATGTGTGTGTACTTTTAGGTTATAATGTTGTCTCTGTTGTTTTGTCGGATAAAGTTTTTTATTAAAAAAAAAACAATATCCCTTGTCTATGGATAGGCGCTACCTCCGCGCAGATCGAGAGCTACAAAGGTTGCTACACGGCAAGTATTGGCCTCACCGCCAGCGGGACTTCTCAGGACATGGTCAACGCCGACTGTGTCGAACACTGTAGGACCCAGGGCATGGCCTACTCAGGTACGTACATTTTACTTAGCACTACCGGGTACGGAAGTATTGTTTTAGGGTGGCTCACTTGTTACATTGTTGTGTTTCATGTTAGTGTAGTGACAGCTGCATGCAGGAGCCTGGGTAGTGGTTTTGACAGGTTTTGATAGAAAGGGGGGCCAAGTCTGAACTAGTACGCACCGAAGTGTCTAATACCCGATTGAATTACACATACGCCCCTTCCACAATGTCAGTGAAAACAAAATCACCAGCATTGCAGATATTTATCAAGTCGGTAAAAGCACGACACATGTACGCCAAAAAAAGTTACACTGCACAAAAAGTTGGATTTACCCAAGGTTGTAAACTCAGGTAATGTTTACTATGTACACAGTATCTGGTGTTACAATGGTAGTAAATAAAGGTCAATTGCAGTAATTTCCTTTATAACCCTTGTTATTTCCTACTTGACCTTTAATTACTGCCATTGTAAAGTTCAGAAGTGTTTAAAACAAAAACAAAGTAAACATTACCCAACTATACTGGTGTGGGTAAATCTAAGTTTTCGTGCAGTGTTACTCAAGCAATTTGATGCGCTTTCGGAAACGGTCAGATGTTTCAGGTAGCATCCACTACCTCGGTGACATTTATGTCATATCCAGTCCCCCGAGTAACTGTTTTTTTTGTGTGTGTATCCTATTACCTGAATGTTTAAACTTCACCAAAACTTCAAATGTGATATTTAATGTTATCCCTCCAACATAACAGCGACAGGCGAAGGGAAGCACTGTGTCTGTTTGACGGCAGCCGACATGCAGAACCTCAGCCCAGTCTCCGACTCACAGTGTGACGTCAGCTGCACAGGAAAACTGACGGAAAAGTGCGGAGGAACCGACGAGACGGTCAGCGTGTGGAGCACCGGACAAGGTATGATCATGTGACTATGACGTCATATCGAACGTCCGCCATGTTGGTTCGACGCGTACGAATTTCCTGTAACTAAACACTCAATTCTCCCTCGCTCTCTGTCTCTCTTCCACTGTATTCTGCATTCTAGTTCTGAAGATTGGACGTGTATAACTGTCTCTATTTCGTAGCATGTATTTTTTTATAGGGTAGTAGACGTAAAGATCATGAAGCGTATGAACTTTCTGTAAAGTGATGTAAACACTCCATTCTCCCTCGCTTTCTGTCTCCCTTCCACTGTATTCTGGACTCTAGTTCTGACGATTGGAAGTGTATAACTGTGTCTATTTCGTAGCATGTATTTTTTTGTACAGTAGTGAACGTAAAGATCAATGATCTTGGTCATATCAAGGAGGTTAACCTCCTTGGTCATATCGAACGTCCGCCACTTTGGTGGTGTAAATTTGTGAATTTAAAATTTGAAATCTATTTCAAGGATTCCATTCTATGTTTCAGTTCCGCAGGTTGGAAAGTTATTATAACTGTATGTGTCTATTCCTCAGTCTGTATTTTTTTTGTACTGAAGGCAGACTTTCCGATCCATCCCTCCCTACAGGAAAGCGTGAGCTGGCAGCGAAGACAACTTCAGAGAACTTGAGTAAGTGATTCAAAACAACTGTATAACGTTATGTGCTTGAGCACAAATATCTGTAAGGAGTGACCAATTTTGTGTTAGCGAAAATGTATTTCAATATTAATGCAATCTTGTTGATTTTGAACTAAGATCTTAAAGAAAACTTTTGAAACAAGTAATACATTTTCCTTTTTTAATGTATGTTTAATAATAATAATTTTCAACAATGTATAATAAGGATAATTTCAACAATGTATCTTTAATAATAATTTTTGATAATAATTTTTAAGTGTTCATGATAATTAGATGTATATTAATAATAATCCATGATGATTGTAATAATTCATGATGATTGTCCCAATATCCAGAAGATGCTTGCCGGACAGCATGTACATGTACATGTAGTACGATCATAACTTACCCGATCCACTGTCCTTTTTGACAGGAACGACTTCCACACAGAGCTACAAAGGCTGCTACACCACAAGTGATGGAGCGCTCACCGCCAGTGATCATGAGTCGTCTCTGCACATGACCAACCAAGACTGTGCCAAACACTGTGTGGCCCAGGGCAAGGCATACTCAGGTAAGAGATCATTTATATAGATAAGTTTATTGAAAGTTCCTGTCCGTAGGCTAATTGCAAGTACATGTAACATGGACGTAAAGAATAGACAATGGATAACAATTTATAGTATGTGACTACTCCAACTACCAAACAATAATTCTAACTTGTTGGGTTCTACTCCTTTATCGAGACAATGGAAAAAAGTGATCCCACTTTCTCCCCCCCCCCTCTCTCTCTCTAGCTGGCTATATACTGAGTTTTGAATGAAAAGTTTATTGTAAATTCGTGCCCGGAGGCTAATTGCAAATTACAAAACATAAAAGAACAATGAAATAGAGTATAAAATAACTAAAGTCTACATGATAAAGGTAGCTGTCTAGAACTATAACTATGTCTAAAACTATGTCTGAAGGGTTTTCTCTTCTGTAAACCATGGAAGACGTAATGTCTCACCTTTTCCAAAATTTGTGGGTTTTGGGAAGTTAAAAGAAGAATAGTTTTTTCTTGAATAAACATAAACATGTAAAAGTTGCCTCGCTAGTGACATTAGATAGTCACAGAAATTAGGTCTGCACAGGTAATAGGTATGTAATCATCTTGTTAATACATTACTTGTGTTGTCCCTTCAATAGCGACAGGAGAAGGCAAGCACTGTGTCTGTTTGGCGGACCTACGTAACCTCAGCCCAGTCTCCGACTCACAGTGTGACGTTAGCTGCACGGGAAAAGTGACAGAAAACTGCGGAGGAGTCGACGATGTCGTCACCGTCTGGAGCACCGGGCAAGGTATGACCACGTGACTATGACGTCATATCGAACGTCCGCCATGTTGGTGGAAGCGTGTGTAGATGTGAGATGTTGTAAACGTGGTTCCGTCCAGGTTACTATGCCTTCTTTCGACTTGTCACGGCGAACTCAAAGGCACTAGGCTGCAAATTTCGTCACCAACGTTATAGACAAAAAGTCAATTTCTACAACTAAAGAATACGTCACAGTTGGAGTCACATTATAACGCCTCTCTTCTTCCGTTTCTGAAATGGCTGTCATGTGTACATTTTTTAATTGTGGAGATTGAAGATAAGCGGTTCTAGTTTCATACATGTACCATATGACAAAGTCTCATCTTCATCAGTCTAATTATCTAATTAATTTGTATCATCTTCTAATATGTGTATATATTGTATTTTAATATGGGCACTGGGCATGACACAAGCATTTTCTAACTGGTGTGTTTGAAATAGTCCCATGATATGTCTGATATAGCAAAGTTTCTTTCATCCTCTTCTGCAGGGAAGCGGCTGCTGACGTTGAAGATGTTGGTTGAGGCCATGAGAGACACCGTGTGATACAACTACAAACCTGACTGACACTCAACTAGCTACTAATGGGAGATTTGACAAGTGGGTCAATACATCGAAGAGGAAGGAACAGGCATTTTATCGAAACTATGTAATGATGTGAACATTGTGTAACACATGTACATTGCTAAAGCGTTTTGAACGTCAACGGTCATTTCTCCAATCTTATACTCTGTAATGTCGACCAAATACAAACTTAGTAACAATGCGTTGGGCATAGGTCTGAATCGAATTATGTTGACTGACCTATATTGGTGTTTCAATACCGATTTGATCAAGCAATCGTTTAAATTTGTGTTGTGTTGTTTTCGACATTATTGTATTATCTTTGCTGGTATACAACTGTACAACTCCTCATTTTATCTCTACAATGGAATAACTGTACATTTCAAAGTATGTGGGATGGTAATAAATCTGTTGTAATAAAGTTACACGAGTGCATGTGCGTATTTTTGTGAACAGATTCAACTAGGAATAAAAACAGAAAATAAAAACGATAGTCCTAAAACTGCCTCGCAACAAGTATGCCTTGGTTGTCCATCGTTGTCGATGATGACTTCTACGTTGCACCCTCTCCTCATCTGCTGTGAACCCGCATGTAGCTGAGGAGTCCAAGGCCGTGTTTATGTGAAGTCACCCAAACCGCGATTCGGGTAACTCACATTCCTCACATCTGGTCCACGTGGCACACATTCCTTTTAAAACGTGCCCGATCACGATTCTCCTAAATTACATTCATTGTTGTTTGATGAAAACACGCAAGGTAGCGTGTCATTGTCAGAGGTCAACGACATGCTTGCTGGTGCCCCCCTCCCAGCGTATCTCGGCCGAATGCCGACGTAGTCCCGCCAGAGGCGGTGAAGCTCGTCCTAGAACGGACACATTATTTGACCATTGCTTCTCTTTAAGTTGCTGACACGTAAAATTTGGTATAGCATATAAATAAAGAAATATCACCCCGTAATCCATGACCAATCCATCACATTGAAATCACATTGCGTTCAGACGC